GTGACTTAGGGCCAGTCATTCTCTCAGCCCAATTTACACCCCAGGGTTGTTGTTGTAGAGAAAATAAGAGAAGGAATGTGTATTGGATAAGTTTGCTGCCTTGATTATTTGTAAAAATAGTACAGACAGGATATAATAAACAATAGTAGGAATAGGAGTAGGAATGGATTTCCAGAGGAAGAAAAAAACAATTGCAGACTACAAGAACCAGAAGCACTACTCAGGTGACCCCAAGGAAAGGATGAACCTCTAAAACAGGGGTGTCAAACTTGCGGCCTGCGGGCCAGATGTGTTACACTCTGGTCACACTCACCCCCAGTTTAGTGAAGGGGCAAAAGTTGTGATACGTCATGTGATAACAACGTGACATCACGAGTTTGACACCCGTGCTCTAAAAGAACGAGCAGATTAAATGCAAGGAATATAAATCCTTCCATTTCTCATTATCATATCAGAGCTGAAGAAGTTTCTTGGATGAGAAGTGGAATATCTTCAAAGAAAAAATAAGAAAGTCCATTGCCTCCTGAAAAAGCACCTTTGGGACAACCATGACCTGGATGACTGAGAATCTCTACAGACTTTTAACACTTTTAGAACTAGAGGCTGTTTGTATTGTTGTGGCTAGGCCCTACCAAAAGTCCCCCACTAGGTCTCACGTTCCATGCCATCAGTCTGGTTTTTTTTACCCATTTAAAGTCAAATAGGTTGATATAGTTTCATCCCCAAAACCTCTAATCTAGTTTGACCAAATAAAATTACAGAAGCCTTGTGCTCTCCAGCTATCCTAAGGGAAACTTTGGAGGGAATCATCCAGAGGTGGTATTCAGCAGGTTCTGACCAGTTCTGGAGAACCGGTAACAGAAATTTTGAGTAGTCCAGAGAACCGGTAAATATCACCTCTGACTGGCCCCACCCCCATCTATTCCCTGCCTCCTGAGTCCCAGCTGATTGGGAGGAAATGAGGATTTTCCAGTATCCTTCCCCTGGAGTGGGGAGGGAATGGAGATTTTACAGTATCCTTTCCCTTCCACGTTCACCAAGCCATACCCACAGAACTGGTAGTAAAAAAAATTGAATCTCACCACTGGAACCAGCTACTAGATAGTTTGAGTAGTCTGTATACCCACATCTGATAATTGATTTGCGTGTCAGGCCTGCTCAGACCTCCACCCAGTGTTTCCTCTAGCTTTGTCCTGCCCACGCATAGTTCACCATCTTTTTTGGTCCCTCTACACATGCTCATGCTCCATCTTCCAGCAAGGATGGGTGAGATTGGGTGGTGGTGTCCCATATGCATTAGACCAAACTAGAGCCAGCTTGAGCTAGTTGTTAAGGCCTGAGGCTAGAAAGCAAAGACTGTGAGTTCAAGTACCATCTTAGCCATTAAAACCAGTCAGTCACTTTCTTTCAGTCCAACCCACCTCATAGGGTTGTTGTTGGGGGGGGGGAAACCACCTCAGTTATTTGGAAAAATAATAATAAAGGTGGTATACAAATATTATTTGGCACAAACTTGTAAACACAAACACAAATGATGATGAGATAGCCACATCTAGGTGCATCTAGGTGCAAAACAAAATTTATAGATCAGAGAATCTGCTTAATATGTATACAGAAATTACTATCCATGACAGAAAAGAACAATAAACATTATAAAACTAAGATGGAATTCCCCATAACCCCACATGTTAGTATGAATAAGAATAAAGAACTTGAATGGGAAAGACTAAGAAACAAGCAATCCAACATACACAAAGAGACTGGTGTTCATTGCTTTGCACACAAAAGCTACTTTCATTTGACAATTTCTTCCCTGGAGAAACCTCGTTAATTTAACACCAAAGTACTCTGTAACTATTGCGGCACCTATCATACGACTTTCTGGTAAGAAAAAGAGTAAATGACTTCTGAATTCAATAAAAATCAATTAATTTAACAAAGAGAGAGGAAGAGAGGGAGGGAGGGATCAAATGAATACGGAAACTCATTCGTTCATACTCTCTATGTCCACTTGAGAAAGTCGGGGATCTGTATACCAGAGAGACGTGGCATTAAATGCTTTTGGTATGAAGAACTCCCACTTCGGGGAAAGAAGCAGGGAGACAGACAGAGAAAGGAAAAAAAAGAGAGAGAAAGACAAAGAGAGAGAAAGAGAAAGGAGGAGGAAGAGGAAACCGAAAAGACTAGTAGCTTCTGCTTCCTCCAGATTTAAAGAGCCAGAGCTCTTCAAAATCACTTAATCCCAGAAAGAACCACAATGGAAAAGGGGAAAAAAAGGAATGCACCTTTTTTGACTGGCAAATGTATGTAGCTGCACAAGAAGCTGGAAAGAGACAAGAAGAAAATGATTCCACTCTGCTTCACAGAGCCAAAGGAAAGAGCTTCAAATCCAACAAGGAAAAAAGCCTGGGATGATATAAGCATGACTCCTCTGCTCCCCACCCCCATATTGACCCTCAATTCCAGTGAAGTTTTTAGTTTCATTTGGAAAGCATGTTATCTAAGGGAAGCCTGTTCAATGTGGAGGATTTACATGTTTCATGATCATCCCTCCATAGAAACATGTATTTTGGAAGGGTCATGGAGTTTGAAGGGATCTAAGTGAGGAAAAATGTACTATATATGCTAAGAGCAAGCTGAGACTGTGACTAGTGTAATGGCTAAAAGGGAGCTGCCAAATGGGTTGATTAATATGGGATAATGTACTATCTTCCTATGCAGACTTTTGTCAACAGAGCATTGTTAAATCAGAATAACCCTGAGCTCCCTGAAGTTGACGTTTTTTTTTCTTTTTTTCCTAAAAAATAAAATACAAAACAATAAAACAAACAAAATGAAACAAAATAAAAGCATACATTCAACCTAACAGCAACAAAGAAAAAAATAGTGTGGAAAAGAAGAAGAAAAAATGATCACTACTTTTTCTTTTCCTTTAGCACCCAGGCAGGGTGGATCCTATATGTTAAATGGAGTTCTCGTTTTTTCTGATCACTTTGTCCAAATCAGAACTATTGCATCATTTTGAATTACTGCATTGGGTTTTTTAAAGATAAAACCTGTTTAATATATCATCTTTGTTCCCACCAGCCCCTGAATTCCATTTCTGATCTGTCTGCTGTAACAAGAGTCTTGGCGATGAATCCTACAGGTTTCTAAAACTGAGAGCCACAATACAGTCTCCATACACACTTTCTGTGCATTCTATGATTGAACATATCTGCTTTGGGCAAACAATAATGTTTCAGAATTTTTAAAGTTAATTATCAAATTTTGAGAGCGCATAATCATGATTTCAATGCAGCATTTGGGCAGAGAGGAAAGGGGAGGTTTCTGCCTTTACTCCTACTGGTGCATCAATTTGCATTAAGGAATTTAACTTCCCAAGGCCACATTGTTAGCCAGTGTGAGAACAGAATGTGGTCTGGGCCTGATTGAATGAGCACTTAAATTATCCCACTGGCATTGATGCCTCCTGTTGGAATATGAGATGGAATAAATAAGATTGATTACTTAAATTAAGCCTGACTAACCTGTCTTCTTTCTGATATTGTTACAGCACAACTGGTCACGTCCAAGGAGATTTGCCTTAAATAAAGTCATTCAAATAAACAGTAGATGGAAATGAGTGCTGTCCAAGGGATACAAGCACCATGGTAGTAGTGCTTTGTTTCCAAAGGTTACTTAAATACAAATATTAATGGCAATATTATTCTTTGCAACACACATCCATTTTAATACTTGATAAATGGAAACACTTTACACACACACAAAATCTACTACAGATAGTCCTCGACTTACAAATGTTGAGTTACAATGGTATTGAAAAATGTGACTTATGACTGTTTTTCACAGTTACATCATTTGCAGCATCCCCATCATCATCATCATGTGATCAAAATTCAGATGCTTGGAAATTGGTCCATAGTTATGACCGTTTCGGTATCCCAAGGTCATGTGATCCTCTTTTGCAACCTTCTGACAATGAGGAAACCAGATTCATTTAACAACCAGGTTAACCAACTTATCAACTGCAGCGATTCACTTAACAGCTGTGACAAGAAAGGTCATAAAATTGGGCAAAACTCATTTCACAATTGTCTCACTTAACAACAGAAATTTTGGACTCAACTGTGGTCATTAAGTCAAGGACTACCTGTAGTCACTCAGTAAGATAGAGAATGAAATTTCTTGTCCCAGGAGTCTATTCTTAAATGATTGTAGTACAGCAATCCTCAGTTAACAATGGTCTCTTTTAGCAATTATTTTAATTAAGATGATGTTGAAAAAGTAATGTTACAACTGGCTTTCAAATCTATGACTCTCTCAGCATTCCCAGAGTTACATGATGGGAGATTTGGGCGCTTCGCAACCAACAGCAAGCATTTTTAGTCATGGCATCTCTCCTCAGTACCATGATTGTCACTTGCACACCTTACAGCGATCTTCTGACAGCTAGTCAATGGAGAAGTGGCAGTAAAATTCAAGTCGCTGTCATGAGAATGTCCTGCTTAACCAAGACAAGGCCATGGCGGTCACGTGATGTCTTAATGATTGCGTTGCTCAGTTATGAAGTTGCCCGTTCCAATTATGGTTGTTAAGTGAAACTAAATGCTGAGGCATCCATATTTACACTCAGTCTGTATAAACTATACTCTTGGTGCTATCTTTTTTCCTATAGTAAAGTGACTTTTATCTATGCATCATTTGATACCAGCCAGGACAGGAGGGGCTTCATCACTGGAAGCTTTCAAGAAGAGACTGGACTGCTGTCTGTTAGAAATGGCAACTCCTGCTTGGAGGGGGTTGGACTAGATGACCTACAAGGTCCCTTCCAACTCTGTTATTGCGTTCTCTTAGAACTGAAAAAGGATTATAAGAACCAAATAGCATCGATTAAGCTCCGCCCACAGTATCATCAAGAACTAAGTAAACGGCTCACTGGAACCGTCCATACTTAATGATACAAAGCTTCCGCGCTCCCCACCTAATCCCACGCTCACCTTGAAAAGCGCGTAGTGAAGATACTGGTAAGGAGTGCGCCGCTGAAAGTCTCGCAAAGTCTCGGTCGGCGGGTAGGTGAGCTGAAAGACGGGAAGGTTGCCCTTGCATCTCCGCAGGCAGGAAGCGCGCTGTAGGACAAGCCCGAAGTATTCCATCTCCTGGTCCTGGAGAGCCTCTCCGGGCGTGATCTCCGAAGCATTCACGCCGCATCCCGCGCTACCTTCAAGCCCTGCGAGCGAACCGCCTTTCAGAAGCAGCTTCGAAGGAGACGGGCTATCCCACGCGCCCTTGGCAAGCTCTGTAAAAAGTGGGCCGGTGTCTAACGTCTCGCTCCCCGCGCATTCCTTATGGCAGTGCGCCTCGCTGTCTTGGAGCAGGCGGTGAAGGCGCAAACTCGCCTCCAAATAGCGGATGCTCTCCCTCCAGTTCTCGCCCTCGTACTGCTCTAAAGCATAGGCGTATGCGCTCTGCAGGGGCATCAGCTCAGCTTCTGGAAAGCCGCGGAAGCTGTATTTTTCGTATTGCGCGCCCACTGTAGGCGCCGACGCTATGAAGAGTAGGAGAGCCAGCGGGAACCCCCGTCGTCTCCGCTCCATGCCGTCCCTGCGGCCGGCGACTCTGTTCCTCTGACCAGACCTGCAACTTGGAGGCCCATCAGGAGTCTCTGGGAAGCAGGGGGAAGGCAGACGGGACAGACCCATTTGGATTCCGCAGGGTCTTAAGCGCGCCCTGATATACTTCCTACATTAAAAAGTGGGGGTGGGGGAGCCGTTTCCATTTTTTTTCTTTTAAAAGTGAGGAAAAAGCCTGGTTTGTTTGTTTGTTTTTAAATCTATGGGTAAAACGAGGCAGAGAAAATGTGATGATTGTTTGGCTTCATTATGAACCAAAGCAAAGTGCAAAGAACTCCAACTTTCTTTAGGCTTCAGGGAAGGCGCATCAAATGTGTTAAGAATTATCTATCACTTTTTCCAAAAAATCAAAATAAGATAAAACAGTTAAAGTATAAACTGAAGCAAGTCATCTGTAAAATAGAAACAATGACAGAAAACCAATATGAAAAGTAATATTCCCAGAAGTCTGAAGATATACACTTGTCCAATGTTCAAGTGTGTTAGATTACAATAGATCAATTGGCAATGCTGATTGTGAATGATCGGAGATACTAGGTTGATACATTAATCAGACAAGTCACTATTTTTCAACTTCTTTTTTTTTCTGAATGGACATCCAGACATGGTTGGCATGTCTTGGCTTCAATTATACTTTTGAGAATTCAGGATGGTTTTGCCAGAAGCAAAATATATTTTTAATACAACACAAATTGAAGAGCCACAGAAGAGCATGAAAATAAGATAGAGGACCATTTTAAATCATTCTTGGATGCTTCATAAACTTTATAATGCAACTTTTGTAATAAATTGCCATATAAATGTATGTATTATGTATTCCATAATATTTTCAAGTTTCTCTCATTCTGGAGGTAATTTAGCACAACTACCCTGCCATAAAATAAAACATTTCCAGATGTAAAAACCAAAGGTTGAGTAATTATATGCATAACTTCTATTATTTAGAGCCCCACAACTTCTATCATTTTATTTTGACTTCAAAGTAATAAAAATAGTTTCTGGTAAAACAACACAAGTAAAATAAAAATATGTGTGGGAGATAACTGCAACATATGGTGTTCCATGTCTTCTATAAGCTATTAAAATTGGTCTAACAAATCTATCTTTACCATGTACAATCAAAGTAAAACAGGTGCATACCATTTAAATGAACCTTGGAAACTGAGGCACTTGGTCTAGTTGCCCGCCGGGAGTCCAGCCCGTAATTTGCGGAGCCAGAAGAGGGCTGCCCTGCCAAAATAAGAGGAGCTGGCGGAAGCGCGCATGGACCAGGCGGTGGCCTGGTGCGTCTTAAGGGCCGCGGATTCTGCCCTCTTGTTCTCTGCCTTGGTAGTGGTCAGAATCCTAGTTTGAATTAATGCTTTTCTCAGGTGCCCCTTACTTTAATATCTGCTCCACTGTTTGCTTTGTAACACTCCTTTAAAATAAAAATAAGACATGTCATACATTTTTGGACCTTTCAGCAGTCCCCTACTCAAGTGTATGACCCAACAATCATAAACTTTCTTGCAGCTGCTGTTTTTATGAAAGGCAAGGCAGAAATCCTGTTTTAGAAGACATTTATTATAGAATTTTGCAATCAGGAAATTCCGTCTTAGTTTAAGTTTGGATTCTTACTGTAAAGCTTCTAGCCATTGGTTTTTATCTAAATGTTGAGTGCTCTGGCACAGTGGTTCCCAACCTTTCTGGCTTTGCAGACTGGCGGTGCCAGCGGTGAAGGCAGGGAGGGACAGGGGAGGGTTCTGCACAAGTGATGAGTAGGTGCGTCCACCACTTGCACCAATTGAGCACTGTGCATTTGCTCACTCACCCGTCGTTTGTGCAACCTGGTTCTCAATACGCTGCATACTGGGCCACAGCCGAGGGGTTAGAGATCCCTCCTCTGAGAATAAATGCACATCCTGCCACCCTCCACTCTGTCACCCATTTATGTGGGTGATCATATTTTCCCTTAGTCTTCTCTTTTTTAAGCTAAACATACCAAGTTCTTTTACTGTTTGGAGATTAAGCTTCCAAACCTGTATCATTTTTTTGCTCAATAATCCAAGCATGGTCTGACTAGTGCAACATAGAGTGGTACTATCACTTCCTGTGATCTTGAACCTATACTTCTGTTGATGCAAGCCAAAATGGTTCTTTGGGCAACTCTAGAACATTGCTGGTTGTTTATGCTTAATCTGTGACCTACTACTGTGTTTCCCTGAAAATATGACATGTCCTAAAAATAAGGCCATGCCATATTTTTTGAGTGGGCAAAAATATAAGCTCTCCCCCCAAAATAAGCCCCTTGTACAACCCACCACCCTCTGGCCAAGCAGAACACCACTCACCAACCTAGCGGTATTTCGAAGGCACCAAGCTGGGGGATCCGGGGGAGGGCAAGGCGCTCGCGTTGCTTGCCGCATTTGAGATACAACTAGGTTGGTGAGTGGTACTGTGCCCAGCTGGAGTGAGAGGTTGCCAGGCGGCTGCTTTCTTGCAAGCGAGCTCCTAAAGAGTCTGTTGCACAGCCTTGGGTGAACGGCTGTGTTCTGCCCACCCCCCAGCTCCCACGGCTTGGCACCTTCGGGATACCCCTAGGTCAGTGAATGGTGCTCTGCCTGGCTGGAGAGGGGCGGGTTGCACAAGTGCCTGTTCCTTCTCCAGCCATGTGTCTCCCAGCCTCACCATGCCCTGGCACAGCTCTCCGTGCAGGGCCAGGGCACCACTGACGCTGCCCTCCCAACATAGCTTCTTCTCCAGCTTCCAAACTCCGGAGATCAGCTGCCGAGTCTTCTGGCAATGGCCTCTCTGGGAGTGAGCTCTATGGTTGTGGGCCGACTGCCAGGAGACTCTCTGTCTCACCAGCGCAACACAGTCATTCACCCTGAGGCTGTGCCATGCTCTTTGGGAGCCCGCTCCCAAGAGAGCAGCCATCCAGCAACCCCAAAACAATAAGGCCTCCCGATAATAAGGTCCAAGCTATATTTTGGGGGTCAAAAGAAAATAAGGCCCTGATCCTTCTTGCAAATGCTTCTAAGGCAGGTAACTAACTACATGTACTTGCACAATGCACATTCTCTTTTTTCCATTTTTCATCATTGAGTAGGATTTGTTGGCTAGGGTCCAATATGCAAGTCTATCAAGACCCTTTTGAATCTTGACCCTGTCTTCTAGGATGTTAGGAATCCCTCTCCTGCTCAGCTTTATGTCATATGTAAATTGTATAAGTATTTTTCTATCCCCCCATCTAATCCATTTATGAACAGGACTGGGCCTGGGACAGATTCTGAAGTATCCTATTGCAGAACTCCTTTCAGGTAGACATAAACCCATTAAGGTCTATATGTTGGCCTCAGTTGCCCAGCAACTGAGAATCCATTGAGTAGCGAGATCATCATCCCACGTTGTTCCAGTTTATTATCAAGTCAAATGCTTAATACATAACATCCACAGCATTCCCTTGCCCCAACATCTAATCACATTGTCAAAGAAACCATTAAGATTTGTCTGGCATGGCCTCTTTGTGACAAAAACATGCTAATCACCTTGTTTGCATCTTGTGTGCAAACAAATTTTTTTCTAGAATTTTCTCAATTATTAATATCAAGTTGATATTTTTGTAGTTTTCTTGGTCTACTCTCTTCCCTAGTTTAAAATAATGAAACAATATTGGCTTTTCTCTAGTCTTCGGGCAATTTATCTATGCTCCAGGCTTTCTCAAAACTTTGAATCAGTGGATCCGAAGTGACATCTGTCAGTTCCTATAGAATCATGGGGCATAAACCATTTAGGCAGGAATTCATTAAGTGCACCTGAAAATTTGGGATTCGCTATTGATATGCAACTTTTTTGTCTTGACTTGATTGTGCATTTGGAGTTGAATTAAGAGAAAACAGTAGAGGCTTGGTTGTTTTCTTGCAGATGTTTCATTACCCAAACTAGGCAACATCATCAGTGCTGGCAAGAAAAGAAACATCTGCAAGAAAGCAACCAAGAGTACTAAGGACCCCTCATTCCTTAATCTCTCCCTGAACCCACCCCCCAACCAACATACTGAAACATTTTAGCTTTAGTGCACTATTGTGCAGAATTGGCATGCTGGTTTCGAGGGGATCTGTTTTGGATAATTTTGGATATGAATTGGGATTTCCCCCCCCCCTCTCTTCCCCCAAACATTCCCATGCTTTATAGTGCTTTGCTGTTTGATCTCCTATTGCAGTGGTCCCCAACCCCCGGTCCGCGGACCGGTGCCGGGCCGTGGAGTACCTTGCACCGGGCCGCGCAGTGGCCAGGGGCCATGATCGCTGCGGCGGCCGGGGGACATGATCGCTGCAGCACAAAGGCTCCTGGGCCGTGCGCAAAAGCTCCTGGGCCGTGCGCAAAGGCTCCAGGGAAGAGAGCCCTGCGCAGGTACGCACGTGTGGCCCAAAGCTGACGTGTACCTGCGACCCTGCAGACGTCTCCCCAGTCTCCCTGCGGCTCTACAGAAAACGCCTCGCTCAGAAGACGCCCCCCCACCCCTGCGCGCGCTCAGCGGGCCACGGTAAAATTATCAAAGGCTGACTGGTCCGCGGCGATAAAAAGGTTGGGGACCACTGTCCTATTGATAGTATGGAACCACATGTTTTGCTTGGATTAGTAGGAAACTGAAGTTAGAATGACCATGTATTTTTCTCTAGTTTGATTAACTGCAATTGCTGGTTAAATCAAATTTGGTTGGTTTCATGCCACAGACAATCTTAGCAAGTTGTACGGACAAAGCAATTGAGAGGCTGTTTAAAGACCTGTATGGGTCCCTATATCTGATAAATTCACTTAAGTCCAAAACTATTGGTAGTTTATAAAGAATTTTTAAAAGAAGTACTAAAAGTCATTTACAATTAGACTTGGATAGCAGACACCGGAGTTAACAGGCATTTAAATTCATATCAAAAACATAAGCAAACATCAACATATTTTATATTTCTTTTCTCTTTTTTATTAACACATAAGCAGGTGAGTGAAGCTCAGGGGTTAAAAAATAGCAAGTTTTTGGTTTAAAAAAGAAA